GTCGAATTTGTAGAATGTAACGCAGATAAGGAGTCAAAGAAAAGATTTGAAACTTAAAAAAATTATTTCAAATCCTTTATAAAAGGTATATAATAAAATGCCCAAACGGGCTATAACAATTATATTACAAAACGTTTTCGTATTGTTAAATCCATCATCAGTGTAAACGAGGTATACATGCTATGAGCCACCAAAATATATGGGTCAAAACCCTTTAAATGTTATGAATTTACAGTTGTTTTACATTATATATGGTTACAGATTAGGATGCTTAAGTTACCGTTGGAATTGGTAACATGGCGACGTATGACCCTACATAGGTAAAATGGTCCTGAGACGAAGTGTCTTCGAGAACCTGTTGATAACAACTCGTTGATAACAACTTAGTAGACTTTTTGCGGACTAAGAGATTCAAGCCAGATCAACCGAACGATAAGGTCAAACTAGGGCAGTTAAATTGAGAAGACGTGTTATATGATATGATAATACTCTTTGCATTAAAAGCAGTTTTGACAGAGTAGTCATCAGAGGATTTGTACAGCGTACCGGAGATAGGTGGAGTTTTGGAAGATTAGTATATAGGATATCCCTCCAGCTTTGTTGTCGTTTGCCAGCTTGATTCCTCCACCAAACCTGATTTACGTCTTAGATCTTCGTTCCTGATTATGGGAATGGTTTCCTTTGTTCCTGTTTGAGAATTTGCCCAGGTAGCTTCCCCAGAGATATTAGCAGTTTCTTTGTGAGTGCGAAATAAGTGAAAATAAGGTAACATTCAATATATTAATTTTTCCAAGTTATATAGACATTCTTAATAATTGCTTTCATTAAAATAAAAGAATCTGTAATAATTAAAGTTTTATATTTTGTTAGAGTCGTAGCTAAAAAATGTCATATTTTATTCTGTCTTAAAATGTTATGTTGACATAAGACATTTGCTCTAATCCATTGTTGTAAAACAATTTCAATTTGATTATTATATATAAAAGATATTTCATATATAAGGTTAAATTCTACAGTATTTTCATAAAAAGGATATCCATAAGTTTTTGATAATCTAATTTGGCCATATTTTAACCTAGGGACCATTTCAAAAATTTTTGTAGCAATCTCTTTTGCAAACAAATAACACGTAAGTTTTTGTTAATTTGTATTATGTTATAAATATAGTATGTTTCTTGTGTAATCTGTATTTTTGATAACTGTTTGTTTGAGACAAAAATAAACGTTTGATTTGTTTCTCTGATCCATTTTGTGTTTTAATTTAGAAAAGTCTCCTAACCCTTGTATGTATTTTTGATTGTAGGGAAGAATTTTTTCTTTTTCCAGCATGAAGTTTTTCTTCGAAGAGGCATCCCAATAAATAAAATAGCTAGAGGTAAATCGTATCTGCCATATCTTATTTCGTTTTTGACCCAGGAGATTTATGTAAGTATCCCTTTGTTTTTATTTAGTAGATACCCCAATCCGACCAATTTTATTTCAACCATGGACGTATAAATAAAGATGGACCGGTCTGTTTACATCTATACTTGAAGTCATGAGATATTCACAGTCATAGGCACAAATCCCTAATTTGACGTTGTCATATTTTTTTTTTCAGAGTCAATCTTCGAAATAATTTTCGATTTTTAGTGTAATTTATTTTAAATCTATAAGTAAAAATGTATTATCTAGTTAGTATAAACTATTTTTAGATATACTCATTTCGCAACCAAGGAATTAAAAGAAAAAAATTAATTTTTTAATTTATTAAAGGAAAATAATATTCTGATAATCTTAACTTTTGTAAAACTTGGCATCGTTGGTAATATCAACCGATCCTAGCGATTTGAAGAAAAAGAACATGGCGTTGTATTGTTTACCTTTGAGTTAATAATTTCCTTATTTCTGACATTTTAGTGAATTTGTTAATGTATTTTAAATTAGAAGTGAAGAATAGTTGATAGTTAAGTGTAATAATGGTGCGTAACTGTTTTGTATGCAGGAAAACTTCATATTTACATCCAGAACTGTTATTTCATTCGTAAGGTTTGTAAACATTGGAATTTTGTCCATAGGCGTAGTACAGGGATGTGATAATACTTAATGCTTGACATGAATTGAAGTTTAATTTTGTAGTATTATAAATACATTTATTTATTTTTTCTAATCTACACTATAATTGCTATAAATATATTAATTTCAATGAAATATATACATATCTATAGCTTATGTTCATTGTACGAAAATTAAATTTAACCAAATATAATGCATACTCGTAGCATATTCCATAATATTGATGGCATGTTTTTTTTTTGTTTAATAATTCAATGTTTTAGTTCTACAAACGATATGGAAAATAAAGCAACAGCTTCCAGTAGTATTGATAAGGATGATTTTTATGGACCTTCAAAAGGGTGGGTTTGTATCGAATTTGTTTATTAAATTTACAAATAAAATCTAAATGTGCATTTTGATTACTTATTTCATTTTAATATTAAAATATTTTAGAAGTTTTATTGATACTGAAGAATGTAATATGGAGACAGACTTGGGCTTTAATGTAAAATCTAATTCTCCTAAACTGTTAAAAAGGAGGTGAGTGTTGGCTATATTTTGTATGAGATTATTTCAATCTTAAACCAATTTTAATACTCTTCTTTAATGTACATAAATTGAATATTCTAGATGTTTAAATGACAATGAAGACAACAAGGAAAATATAGATACAGAAAACGCATCTTCGAGCACCATTACAGCATCAGAAACTGAAACTGTAGAGTTGTTACTTGATGATAATACTTTTTCATATGTTCCACGTAATATTTATAAAAAGTGAGTTTTTAGTTTAATTTATAAAAACAAGGATTATGATTATCTAATTAAGTGTATGTTTTAGAAATAAAACCGTTGAAGACATGTCTAGCAGCGATGAATTTTTCTTTCTGCTGATGATACCAGTATTACCTAGAGGAACTCTAATATTTAGCGTGAATAAGTTAACAATTATAACGATGTTATAATTGTTAACATCGTTTCCATGATTGTGTGGTTCTCATATTGTACTTTTTAGATGAACTGATGATGCTTTTTCAGAATACGAAAGCGAAACGTTTTCAAAATAGATAAAGTAGCCTATCAACTTTGTCTTTTATTTCTCCACCTTGAGACCGATACCCACAGGAACCCACCACTCGTTTGAGTGATCCTTATTTATATTGGATTGACGGCCGTACTCCTTTTCCGATGATATATATATATATATATATATATATATATATATATATATATATATATATATATATATACCCCAGTATGTTTTACTCCTCCTTTCGGAAAACAGTTATAAGTCGTCTCCCAGAAGGAGTGAGTATACATACTTTCTGATTTGAGTATATTGCTTGAAAGATCTCTATAACATGCAGAGTGAAAAAATATAAATCATTTTTTTTTGTTATTTTTTTAATCCACCATTTTTCTCTCCTCCTTACATTGTGCAATGTTTGAACCTTCCACGTTTATAATTGCGTAATCCATTTCTAACAGATTTCGGTCTTCCTGTGTATATTTTTGTTACAAAATACATTTAATAGGTTAACCAACCTGTGTTGCCAGATTTAGACGTTTGTCTCGCAGTGGCAAAATTTTAAAGGGACGGTGACGTCACGAAATAACCTGTTTTTGCATGAAGTTCATAGTGATGGGTTTTGAAATTTTGCTACGGCGCGGCGAGACAAAATAATATATATGTTTAGATGTCGATAGTGTTTGTTTAGAAACGAAATAGTTGTACGTGTTAAGAAAAGTTGCGTTGTGGTTGAAAACTGTGTCGTTTAGGTAGTACCAAAATATCTATCATAGATCATAGTGGTTGGTGGATTTCTTTGAACATTTGAGGTACGTATTAAATATTTGTAAAAGCTAGAATATACAGTAGAAATTATAAAATATTGTAACACACACACAAATTTTGTCTCAATGTTTAAAATTTCTAATTAATTTGTTTTTGGGTTTTTGTGCTTGTGTGTTTTTAATTTTGGTCTTGCATATGAGGCAATAGTTTTGCAAATCTTTGGTTTACGTGATATTTTCATTTGAGTGTGCAATACAATTTCAATACAGTATTTTCCTGCGTATCCTTTGTTTAATTCTAATATGAGTGAATAGTAAATAAAATAATCAATCAGTTTCAATACATACTCCAATAAAAATTAGAGGGTAATACAGGGTGTGGCAGAATTAAATTCAGCAGTTTTGTAATTGCAACTTGTGCCGATCTTTTTCAGTTCAATGTAACTTTTAATTTCAATTTGTTTTAAACATTACATTAAAAAGTGATGTTTTACAGGGTGGATCAACATTAAATTATTCAATTTCATGTATATTTACCATATCTTCATAGATCGAAATGAAACTAAGCAATATAACGCATTTTCAGTGGAAATGAATTATGATTAATACACTTCACTTTTTAAATGGAGTTAGAATAATAGTTTATACAGAGTAGACTAAATTTGTTTGCGTAAAAATTTGACTTAACATGTTTCTATTCTTCAAATTTGCATTGTTTACAAGGCGGCTGAATTGAAATTTTTTATATCTAATTCCTGTGTTAAAGATTTTGACTGATTTTTTATGTTTTATAATTTTAATCAAAATTAATTGATAAACCAATTATATAAATTTAGATTCAAACAAGACATACATAATTTTGTGCATGGCTAGCTTTGATCCCAATAATTGTGGATCGCTCGTTACATACATGCTTTGATACATGTTAAATGAGCGTTAAAATAGATTAGGTAGATTTTAGTTTGTGAATACAGTTTTAATTGTTACTTTTTATGCTTGGGATGACTATATTTAACCTAAGATAATGTGCAGCTTTAAAATTTTTGGGAAAATACAAATATTACGTAACCAATACTAACACAAATTTTTGGGGTACAAATAGAAACCCAATTTTTATATATAACAAACAAAGAGAATTAATAACCTTATTTATTCGTTTCGTTTCTAGCATGAATTTTAATAAAAAAAGAACCAGGTGGTTTTGCAATAGGCCACTTTCTCCTGTAGTGGAAAATACACCTGAAGTTTCTTCTCGCTCAAAATTGATTGCGTCTCTTTGCATTGTGCAAGATAAGACTAACAGTGGTTTTCAACAAGAAAATACGGAAAAAGTAAGTAATTATAGTAATTATATCAATTTAAACGTATTATGGTTTGTTTGAAATAAAACCACAAAAGCTTTTCAAAATAGACTTAATGGTTTTGAATTACTTATTAATGTTAGTAATGGGATTTTATTTTTGTGACAGAGGCTGTTTTGACTATCTAAAATTTCTTATAATTATATTTTTCTTCACTTGAAAATGATAAACAATGATGTTGTGCCATACATAACCGGCTTCTAGTTAAAATGTAACAATAAAACACTGAAAACTTTGTTTTCAAACTTCCACAAAATTTATTTTAAATATTATCACTACAGCTGTTTGTAAGTGAACTTGAGAAAGGCAATCAGCCGAAACAGCTGTAGTAATAATATTTATAATAAATTTTGTGGAAGTTTGAAAACAAAGTTTTCAGTGTTTTATTGTTACATAAAATGAATTTCCATCAAGTAACGGTCGAATCCATCAATTATTCTAGTTAAAAAATCACATCAAAGAATAATATTCTAAGATCTTAACCGTTGCAAAGATGACATAACCATGGTTACCTAAAAAGATTAAACGCTACTTCACGATTCACACCCAAGAAAGTCACTAGAAAAATCATCAAATACATCTTTGACAGTAATCCATACATATTATATTATACTAATACGTCGCTAAAGAGTTATAAAAACAATTGTCTTTTTTTAATTAAAAGTAAAATAAAAGTCTAAAACTTAAATACCTTAAATATATTTTGTGAATTTCTATTATAACCTATTATAACTTCAGGATTGGAATCTCACGAAAGAAGCAACTGTCGTTACCAACAATCTACGGAATCCTAAATGTTCTTTATCAGATGAAGAAATAGTCGTTGACACTCGCTTAGCAGATTCAAATTATACGTTATCTGGCAAACAAGTTTGTATTGATGACGACCTAGCAGATCCTAATCATTCTCCTTTTGAAAGCGATATCTCAGTAAGTATCTTATTAGTAAATCTTTACAAATATTAATTAATACTTTTTAGGATACTTCTCCTATAATATTTTGTTCACCACCTTCTTCACCTGAAGCAACTGTCGTTAACAACAAACAAGGAGATCCTAAATGTTCTTTATCAGATGGAGAAATGGTCTTCGACACTGATTTAGCAGATTCAAGTTATACGCTATCTGGCGAAAAAACTTTTATTGGCGACGATCTAGCAGATCCTAATTATTCTCCTTGTAAAAGCGAAATCTCAGTAAGTTTTTTATTAGTAAATTTCTATAAATATTGATCAATACGTTTTTTAGGATATTTCCTCTATAATTTTTTCTTCGTCACTTTCTTCACCAGAAAATTTACATACCGAACTTAACACAGAAGTTCAACAAAAAGAGGAATCTGCCAAAATACATCAAAGTTTTCCTGTAGATTGCCAAAGTATGACTGAAAACAAAAAACAGTCCAACAAAAGTGTTTTTTGTTGCTACTGTGAATGTTATGTCCTCAATTTTCCGCGACATCTGACACGTAACCATACAACAGAATTAGCGGTTCAAAAAATTTTAGCACTTTCTCCACGAAACAAAAACAGAAAAAAATTATTGTTTTCACTAAGAAAGAAAGGAAACTATCTTAATAGCACTATTACGAACAAACCAGTAAGAAAAGGAGATCAATTCTCTAATTATGCAGCCTGTACTTATTGTTTAGGATATTATTCTACTAAAAATATGTGGCGACATCGCAAAAACTGCGAGGAGAATGTATCTAAGGCAGCCCCTTCGAAAAATGCATTAAGTGATTGTCAAAATTTCTTTCTGCGTCATCTTAGAGTGGATCCTCAATTGAAGTTAGAAGTATTTCCACGAATGAGAGGTGATTATATATCTCTGGAGGCTAAAAAGGATGCACTTATATGTGCATATGCCGCGAGATACCTGAAAATCCACCGCGAAAAACATTTTATTTCGGTTACATCAAGAAAAATGCGGGAACTAGCGCGACTTCTTATTGAGATAAGAAAAATAAAACCATGTGTTAAAAGTCTTATTGACTCTTTAAAACCAGAATATTATGATGTGTTGGTGGACGCTACTAAAGTTGTTGCTAAATATGACTCTGAAAAACAAAATTATGAATCTCCTACATACGCTCTAAATATGGGCACAACATTAAAACAGTGCTGTGATATAGCACTATTGCACACTTTAAAGAAGTCGGATCTGTTACAAACTGTAAATTTGGCCAGTATTGAAATTAATTTAAAAACCTTGATGAAAATAATTGAAGCAAACTGGAAGTTTGATGTATCAAGTCAGGCTTCTAGTGATTTAAGTTTAAAAAAATGGAATAAGATAACTTTAGTGCCGCTTGCTAGCGACTTAAAATTACTTAAAAATTATTTAATTGAAAAATCGAAGATTGCTGTCTTAAAGTTATTGGAATCAAACGATGACGAAGATGCCTATTTAACCTTGTTGAATACTGTATATTGTCGTTTAATGTTATTAAACAGGCGACGACCTGGTGAGTTGCAACGACTTCTAGTGCAAACTTACATTTCAGCTTTGCAAAACGAAAATCCTCAAGGGTATGAAGAATTTTCAGAAGCAATTTCTGATACTGAAAAGTTTTTAATGAATAATTTTAAACGAATTGTTATAAGAGGCAAGAGAGGTCGTGGGGTTCCAGTACTGTTTAATAAAGAATTGCAAGAACACCTAGATTTAATTTTAAAATGTAGAAACAGCATTTTAAAGAAACCGAATATTTATTTATTTGCTACCCCAAACTCAGACGAACCAATACGGGGCTATAAAGTATTAAACAGGTTTGCTAACGAGTGTGGTGCTCATAATCCTAATGCACTTACATCAACTAAGCTTAGAAAACATTTAGCAACTTTAACACAGTTGTTCTGCATGACAGAAAACGATATGGAACAACTGGCATCTTTCATGGGACATACATTAGGAGTACATAGGAAGTCTTACAGGCTTCCTGACGACATTTACCAAACAGCTAAAATTTCTAAACTTTTGATATTAATGGAAAAAGGGCAGGCAGGACAATTCAAAGGAAAAACATTAGGGCCCGATTGTACATTGCAGGCTTAAGCGATCGCTTAATTGAACCGGCCTCAAATTTGAGCGTGGGTTCAACTTCATGAGGGTTGTCCAATGGCAAGTTTAGTTAAACCAAGGCTCATACAAATTTTGATAAGGTTGGCAACGTAACGCATGCGTATCCATATTAAGGTTAAATATCAATTTTCCCGCTAATTTTATATTATTTAGTTTTTGAACGGTTTTTGTGAATACAAGTCCACTAATAATTCTGTTATTTAATATTAGTTTAATTTAATTAACTAGTTTAATTTTTAATCGTTTCCCTAAGTTAAATTTATGAACTAACCATTTGAATACTCACGTAAAGTTTATTCTTGCAATATGTTTATTTTCATGTAAAAAATTGTTTTTAGAAGTATATTTTTTATATTTATTTGGATTTTTTATTTTATTAGCAATATTTTGATGTAAATAATGAACTGTATCTTTAGATAACCTAAATCTTTGCAAAAATTCATTATCGTTCCATTTTTCAAAATGATTCTCTCTGGTCCTAAATTGTTTTTGTGTTCTTCTTACATCTACAATATTTATCATTTCCAGAAAATCTTCATCGTCAGTTAAATTTTCAAAGTTATTCATTTTTTATAATATAACACTACAATAACAGATAATTATTAAGCTTTCTATTGACAATTACAGACAAATAAAAATATGTGAGGTTAAAAATGCCTGAGCTGACGTTGAACCGTCAAACTTCTATCGCTCAGTAGAACCCATGTTTAAACCGAGCTCAAGAATTAAACTTTAGATGTACAACCCACTTCATGCGTTAAACTCGGTAATGGCGCTGAGCTTGAGTTGAGCTACGAATGTACAACCGGGCCTAGATGAAATAAATTTAAACTTAGAAGAAGATTCACTGGAAAAATACTCGGATGATAATATAGACGAAATTTTGGAACGGGAAGAAATTTAAGAATTCTCAGACCACGAAACAAACAAAAAGGAATCGATTAATAAAAGTAATATAAAATCTGAAAAAAAGAGAAGAGTTCTCAACGCTTGGACAGAAGACCAAAAAGTAGTCGTATGTGATTACTTTCAAGCTCAAATTAAAGAAAAAAAGGCACCAAAAAAACAAGAGGGTATGGAACTTATTTCTAAATATCCAGTACTTCTTCACAATAAGAACTGGCTAAAAATTAAAGTCTTTGTCCAAAATAAGTACATGAAAACCAATAAATAGTTACTGTCTGCTTCTATTACTGCTTTGTTATTTGCCTTATTTTATTTGATAAGTATATTCCGTTATTTTTTTGAGTGTAATAAAAAAATCAATTTCGATTTTGTTTTTCTTTTTATTCACCCTTCTTCCTTATATTAGCAAAGTAACACCGAACACGTTAAGTTAATGTATTATTCTAAAGTACAAGTTACAAATAAAATTAACAATTAATTTTTTTTTTCATTTCGAATCAACTGTGTAATTAAACGGTAACTTCAGTACTTTTGTATAATTTTTGTTATAGATAGAAGCGTACTCACAAACTAAACATTAAATTTTACTTCATGATAGAGTACGTTTTTCTATTTATCTTTAAAAATTGATTGTACATAAATTATGAACATAATCTGGATTACCAGAATTTGCCACAACGTAAAAAGTACACATTATTTATTCGACTGTATCATTTTATGAATCGTAAATCGTATTCGAAAAAAAGAATAATAAAACAAAAAAAGAACAGAAACAAAAAACACCAAAAAAAAAAACACTGAAAAATTATACACACACGCATTTATTTATGAAACCACTATAGTCATAAATAAACGGTGCTGATACTTCAAGATATTAGGTGTATTATTATTCTGTTCTTATTAGTAAAACAACATTGTTAACTCTTATTACTTTTATTGTACATCGTTACTTAACATGTGTATTATATTAGCGACCATGTTGTCCCGCACCTCAACTGTTAACTGTCTACTGTCAACCAGTGTTGCCAACTCACAACATTCATAACTTACTATACTACATCTCCCTAATTAACTTGAATCATAGCTATCACCACAATCAGTCACAAAGTCTTTTAAATAAACTGGTTGTCTTCTTATCCGAGTACCACGACTCAATGTTTCATTGTTATTATTAACATTTTCCGCACTACCTATGTCACTATATAAAATATTCTCAATATTAACATTTTGATCTTCATCATTTATAATAATAGGTTTATATGTGAAATAAACCGATTCTTCTACACTATTTTGCAGTTTATCTTTCACATTATTTTTTGGTAAAATTTTAGGCAATATGTTACTTCCTTTAATATCTATTCTATTCCTACGTTTAATTTTGTTATTGACATCATAAAATATAATTGTTCGTGGTGTTTTACCATATTTTATAAATTTCGCAGGTAACCACGTTTTATTTTGTCTATAGTAAATTTTTTGACCTTGAGTTAGTTTTAATTTTCTTTCTTTTGCATTTTTGTCATAATAAAATTTGTTTCTTTCATTTTTTTTTTGAACTTGCCTAAAATCTTTTACAATTTTTGGTTTTAACTTATTACTATGAATTGGTAAAGTTGTTCTAGTTTGTCTGCTCAAAAGAAGTTGGGATGGACTATACAATGAGTTTAATACTGGAGTGTTTCTGTACTCTAATAATAATAATTTTATATCAAAATTTTCCTCTTTCCTTCTTTTAAGCAAATTTTTTGCTATATTAACTGCTTTTTCAGCCATTGCATTTCCTCTAGCACAATATGGACTTGATGTCACAATTTCAAAATTCCAAGCTTTTGCAAAATTGTTAAATTCAAAAGATGCAAATGGCATATTGTCTGCACGTACCACCTCAGGAATACCATGAGTTGAGAATATTTGTTTCAAAATTAAAATTACAGTTTTAGAATCTTTATGTCTTGTTTTAATTATTTCTAACCACTTTGAGTAATAGTCAACAACTACTAAATAAGATTCACCTGCAAATTCTAAAAAATCTGTGCCAACCTTTTGAAAAGGATATTTACTTAATGGTTCAATGATCATGGGTTCTTTAGGATTTTTATTGCTAAACTTTTTACATATTGGACAATTTGTTACATATTGTTCTATTTCATTTTCCATTTTAGGCCAATAGAATAATGATTTTGCTCTAGCTCTTGTTTTTGTTATACCAAAATGGGTTTTATGAACTTTTTGTATTATTATTTTAGTTAATTCTGCTGGTACTATTATTTTATTATCTAGGAATAATAAGTTATTCTCAACAAAGATTAAATCTTTTGATTGATAATAATACTTTAACTCATTTGAACACTTTGAAAATGACTTTGGCCAACCATTTAAACAGAATTCTTTGACAGTATTCAAAACTGGGTCTTTTGTTATACATACTTTGATTTTTTCTGTAATTTCAGTGGATACATTAACTGAATGAACTATATTATTTAGAGACATATCTGTTGCTTCTTGTTTTGCTTTTGAAGAGGCCCTACTAATGGCGTCTGCAATCAGCATTTGATTACCAGGCACATATATCAAATTAACATCATAAATACTTAATTTTAATCTAATTCTCTGTAATTTATTTGAACTTAGTTTACTAATATCTTTTTTCATTAAAGATACTAAGGGTTTATGGTCTGTCTGCATAGTAATTGTTCGTCCATATACATAGTTGTGGAACTTTTTTAAAGCAAACAAAATGGCCATAAACTCCTTGTCTATCTGTCCATAGTTAGTCTCACATTCTGATAAACTTTTTGAAGCATAACTTACTGGGTGACCGTTTTGAATTAAGACACAACCAATGGTTGTTCTGCTACTATCAGTTTGAACAATTATGTCAGAATCAGGATCATAATTCTTTAGAACTGGTGCACTACATATTAACAATTTCAGTTCATCAAAAACCTTACTATGTACTGATTTTTCCCATATGAATTCAGTGTCCTTTTTTAACAATAACCTTAGCGGATAGGTTTTTTCAGCTAAATTCGGTATAAAATTTCTTAAATAATTAATTACGCCTAAAAATCTCTGTAGGGCTTTTTTATCAGTTGGTGTATCATATTCACTAATAGCCCTAATTTTTTCATTGTCTGGTTTTACTTCACCATTACTAAAAGTATGACCCAAATACTTAACCTCAGTTAACAAAAATTGAAATTTTTCTTTGTTAAATTTAATGTTTATTTGCCTAGCCCTGTCTAAAACATTTTTTAAAATTACATTATGAGCCTCAATTGAATCTGCAAATATTAACAAATCATCTATGTATATATTAACACCGTTAATATCCTGAAAGTTCTCAGACAAATATTTTTGGAAAACCTCTGCCGAAATATTAAGACCAAATGGTAAACGTTTGAAAGAATATAACCCAAAGGGTGTTGAAAATGTACAATACTTTGAACTGTTTTCATCCAAAGGTATATTCCAAAATGAATCTTTTAAATCCAACACACTAAAGTATTTAGCATTTTTTAACTTACAAGCTAGGTCCTCAAGCTTTGGAATTTCAAAATAATCTTTAACTATACACTCATTTAAATATTTAGGATCAAGACAAAGACGCAGGCTTCCATTTGGCTTTTCAACAATAACCAAACTGTTAACCCATTCAATTGGTCCATCTGCTTTGCATATTATATCTAATTTACACAATCTGTCTAATTCATGTTTTAGTTTATCCTTTATTTTTAAAGGTACTCTATGTGGTGGGTTAGAACAAGGAATTGCATTGGCTTTTAACTTAATACAATATTTTTTAGAAAATTTACCAATTCCGCTAAATATATCATTATACTGATTCATAACATTATTTTTAGTTATTACAATCTCTGAGCATTCCTGTATACCATTAGATTTTTTAATCAACTTTAGCTTAATACACATTTCAAGACCTATAATTGGAGTGAAATTATTATTAACAATTATAAATTCCACACTATACTTTTCATTTTGTACTGTAACATTTAATGTTATGTCTCCTAACACATTTATTGATGTACCATTATAAGCATGTAGTTTAACCTTACTTTTATTGTTCAAAACTAACTGTTGTTCTGACTGTTGACTAATTAATCTAAAGATATTTTCAGGAATGAGATTCACATCAGATCCTGTGTCTAATTTAAAATCAATTAAAACATTTTCAACATGCAATTTATGATACCATGATATGGAGTTTACTGACCTTACATCACTGACACTTTTCATTTCACAGAAATATTCCTCTTCTGTATCATGCATATTTACTTCTTTTACTTTTTTATCCTTCCGAGTTTTACAAACTAATGAGAAATGGTTATCCCGTCCACACCTTGAACATGTTTTTCCCCATGCTGGACACTTTTTTTTATCACATTCATGTGATCGTCCACACCATTTACAATCAATAACTTTAATTTTTATCCATTCTTTTTGTGACTTTTCTTTTGAAGACACTTGCTTGATTTTATCAACACTAGATGATGCTGTTTGGCACACCTTTTGGGCTTGTACTTTCTCCAATTCAGCTATTTTAAACAACTTAATAACTTCATCCAGTGAAACTTTTTCTGTAGTTATTATTTTTTGTTTTGTTTCATTGTCTGCCGATTCAAAAACTAATCTATCTCTGAGTATTTCGTTTTCGTCTGTGAATTCACAATCTCTTGCCAACGTTTGAACATCTATTAAAAAGGATTCAAATGGTTCATCTATTCCTTATGCACGTTTATAAAACAGGTGCCTACAATATAAAATATTTTTCTTTGGGTTGCATACCTCTTGAAACTTACCTAAAACAGCTGCATATGTCTCTTCATTTTCTTCGAACCTGAAGTTGTTATATGTTCTTAGACCGTCGTCTCCAATACAATTTAGAAGGATCGCTATTTTAATATCATCAGTTTTCGACATCTGTCCTGACGCTCTTAAATATATATTAATAGACTGTTTAAAAATCTTCCAATTTTCACTCACATTTCCCAACATTTTAAGTGGTTTCGGCAAATTAAATCCAGACATTTTGGCGGACTTGTTCCACGTGTTGCAAACTTTTCACACTGACTTTTACGTTTACGTTATTTACACAATTTATATATATATATATATATATATATATATATATATATATATATATATATATATATATATATATATATATATATATATATATGGCAAATCTATAGAATAAGTGCCGAGAATTTGACATAAACGTCATGTCAAATTTGTGTCTGCGGTATTGCCATGTCCTTATTATGTGTATGTTTTATGCCTCAAATATGCTTTGAAACAGTACATTTTTATTATATTATTTTATGAAATCGGGTATTTTTTAAAATTTTTTGAATTTATATGAAACACGAACGAATGAATATTTGTTTCTTTTGATATTAGTTCCAGTTAGTTATTAGAAAAAAAATTATAATTGGCCTTTGGTAGATTAGTAAATAAACTTGGCAATACTGTCAAAATTTTGAAAACAGTAGTTGCCAGATTGCAACAGATGTTTAGCAGATTTCAATTTTATGATT